TTGAGTTGTGAAGAGGCGAGGCGCACTGGGCGTCAATAACTTAAAGGGGAAAACGTCAGTCTCCGAGTCTCCACGCCTTTCGCGATGAGGAAGAAGCAGGGAAGAGAAAGAAAAAGCAGGCGGGGTGGGAAGGACAGCCGCGGGCGGGGACGGGGGCCGCGGGGCGGGGACGGGGGCCGCGGGCGGGGCCCCCACGAGGGCTGCCAGGGGCTCAGTGAGGCCCAGAGTCGCTGGGGGCACAGGGCGCACATGTGTTTTATGTTTCGTAGGGTTTTTTTTCTTTTTTTTTTTTTTTTTTAGAAAAAAGCGAGCCATAAGTCAAGGCCAGAAAAAGGCCGCCTTTGCCGCTGACAAAAGGTGAGAAGATGCACGAAGTGTACGGAAAGATGTGCATCCCCTGATAACTGTGAAATAAAAACCATTTGTTAAAAGTACGAAAAAAAGAAAACCTCCTCCCGCGGGCAGAGGCCCCGCCCGGCCGCGCGGGCTCCGGGGAAGGAGGGCCGTCCCCGCCCGGCCCCGCCCTGTGTCTCCCGGCCGGGGCGCTGTCAGACCAGGTTGTACTCCTTGAGGTTAAGCTGTAGGATGGTGTCCTTCACGGCCGCGAACACGAAGCGGATGTTCTCCGTATCGGTGGCGCACGTGAAGTGCGAGTAGATGATCTTGTCGCTGTCGGGGTTCAGGTCCACGAACATCTTCAGGATGAACTCCCGCGCCGCCTGGGCGTCCCGCTGGGGCCCTGGGGGAGGCGGAAGGGGAGGCTGTGCCCCAGCCCGGCCCAGGGCACAGGACACACGGGCCCCTTTCTCACTCTCAGGGGATGACTAGGCAAGGCACGGCTCGCCCGGCTCCACCCCAGCCCAGAGCCCACTGTGCGCCCGGTGGGCAGCAGCTGCCTCCCTCCCCAGGCGAGCTGCGGGGCCAGCCCCAGGGCACTGCTGTCCCGGCCGGGGCCTCCGCCCTGCAGCTCTGCACCCCCTACTGTGCCCTCTGCTCACCCTAGCCAGCCTCTACCCACTCAGCTCCACAGGAGCAGCCTTCCAGACTCCTGCACGGCTGCCCTCTGAGGGCCCAGGGTCAGAGGATGCCCCCAGGGCTGGGCACAGAGCCCACAGAGCAGGAACAGCCGCCCTCACCCACCCACACACTGCCACCTGCAGGAGGGGCCTGGGAGACGTCCCGAAGGCTCCAGCAGGGGCGCTGTTTCCCACCCACCTCCGGGGCCCCTCCACCACCCTGAACAACGTGGGCGCCCCCCACGGGAACTCCTGCCTGCTGGATGGAAAGGCCCTGGGGGTGTCCAGGAGGCTGCCCTGAGGCTGGCAGGACAGGGGCCCATATCCAGGGCCTGGGCTTCCCCCTGCCAGGGCTCCCTGAGCCCACAGGACAGGCTGCCAGGCAGGGGCCACGTGCGGCCGGAGCGGGGGCAGCAGGGGCAGCAGGGCCGAGGTCACATCGTGTGCCAGGCCCCTCCCTCCTGCTGCCCCTCCAGAAAATGACACCGGAGACCCACAGGAGGAGGGCTGAGCCGGATGGAAACGAAGGCGCCAGAGCGGCTGTGGCCTCGCCGTGCCCGGCAGTAACGGCTCTGAGTGGTGACGGCGCTAAGGCACCGCTGACCGCACGGGCAAGGGCACACCCTCCCTGGCCGCCACCCCCAGGCCCAGAGGGAGTTGGGTGTGTGGAGACCCCAGTGCTCAGTTGCCCTGACACAGCCCATGAGGCAGGGGCCATGGAGGGAAGGAGGGCTCCAGGGGGGCACCAGGACATAGAAGAGGACGCAGGGGCTACCGCCAAGGTCCCCACAGGGCTGTGCTGGCAGTGTGCACAAACCATTCCTGTGAGACGCCTTCTGTAGGGAAGTCCCCATACAGAATACCCCACACAACAACTCCTCCAGCCCGAGACCCCTCCCACCCGAGATCCCCC